CATCAGCGCCCCACCCCCCCCCCCCCCCCGCCCCGCCGACCGTGCCACTCTGCGTGCTTTTCGTCAGCGGGGCCTCAACCGTGCCACTCCGCATGCTCTGTGCCAGCGGGGTCCCGACCGTGCCACTCTGCGTGCTTTTCGTCAGCGGGGCCTCAACCGTGACACTCCGCATGCTCTCTGCCAGCGGGGCCTCAACCGTGACACTCCGCATGCTCTCTGCCAGCGGGGCCCCGACCGTGCCACTCTGCGTGCTTTTCGTCAGCGGGGCCTCAACCTCCGCATGCTCTCTGCCAGCGGGGTCCCGACCGTGGTGCGCGCCGGGTGGCCAGCGCCTCTGACGCCCGGCCACAACGAAAGTACTAGAAGAAGACAGAAGGACACCTGGGCTGAAGCTCTGGCGCTTACGCTGCTACGGCCGTACTCCCGACTAGGAAGAGAACAGCTCGGCTCGGCTCCACGCGAATTGCTCTGGCCGGAGCAGAAATACTTGAGCAGTGGCAAAACATGAGATAACCTCCCATTGCAGGTAATTTTCCGTCCATAGTTTATGGGCAACTTAGAGCATCTACGCCAAGCTGCATCAGCGTTTTTATGTGGTCGCCAGCTTCCCTGTAGTTCTACCCTAGCGCTGTCTACCCTTGCGTAGCAGCTCCCCCTCCCCCTCCCCTTCAGCCGAACCCGTGAGGGCGACGTGACCGGAACCGGTGGGCGTCCGGCGCTGGTGACCGGCGCCGCCCGGCCCGCCGGAAACGGCCGGGCGGGAGCGGGGGAGGGGAGCGGGTGGGTGACCGCCCAGCCCAGCCCACGGCCGTTTGACCTGGGGCGGATCAGCGCCGTCGAGAAGCATGTCGCTTTCGTCACTAGCTACAAGGAGTTGAGCAAGGTGAATGGTTATTGTGCCGGGGGTAGGTCAAGTGGCACTGTCCACTGCATGTGAGGGGTACTCTCACTGACGCCACGCATTTGCCCAGCCTCGTGCCCGAACCACACCTCCGCCATTTTAGCCCCGCCGTCGGGACCCTGGGAGGTATGTTCGTGTCGTTCGCACAGGCTCGCCTCCGGGCAGGTCGGGCTTGCACTCCTTACCGCATCCAACGTAATCGGTGCAATCATTCTGACCGCCCACGTGACGCAACAGCGAGATGTGGCTTGTTAGTGCGCATGCGTCACGTTTATAAGCATGCAATCCTAAACCGATCTAAACCCCCTGACCCGCCATTCGGTGCTGTCGTGTTGTAAAGTTTTCCGGGCATTAACTAAATTACATTCTGTCACGATCTATTGAGCAGCAACAAAGCAGGGAACATGCGCAGGACGTTGAGGACAATGGTGCCGGCATCGAGAGGTCCCCGACTGCCGGGGTGCGAGCACCTCACCCCAGGAACAGGAGCGTGCAGGGGAAGGGTGGCATGTGGGGCCGGCTGATGGTAGTACCCGTTATGTTCTCAGTGCTTGGCACGCGAGGTGTATCTAGCACGTGCTATCCGGCACAGCTCAAACTAGCTGATAAGAGATTTAGTCTGATCAAAAATCAAAACAAAACACCTTACTAGTATTTTTTGGTAAAACTAATAACCTCGAACACCACGATGCACGATATCGCAAGCCTATAATTACTTGCGCTTGCGGATTTTCCATGGGCGGAGGGAGCAAATTCGTCGTATGCGGTGGTATTGCGGTGAACGCCATGCAGCTGCTGTTCTGACTGAGCGGCGCTGGATGGGCGACGGCGGCAGCGGCGGCTCGGCTGACTGGCACCTGCACACGCGCCGCGGGCGGGGCCGCCGCTGCTGCACCCCAGCGCGGCCGCTCCGGCCGGGGCTGTCGGCCGCGGGCGGAGAGCGGCAGTAACGGACCGGTCCAGTTCATCACCGAGACGACTTCATAACGCGTGATAATTTGGCCCGGACCCGGACGCCGGCCGAGGAGCAGGCGAGCCGCCAGTAGGTGCGTCCGTCCGTCCGCCCGCGCGCCCGGCCGGCCACCCACCCCGCCGGCATGCGGCGGCGGCCGCCGCCAGCCGGCCGCGACGCGCCAGCTCACCGTGCAGGTGGTGCGCGGTGTAATTTGATGGGGGTATTTTACTCAGCAGCGCGGCAAGCCATGCGAATCTGCCATTAGATCGGCTCGCGGGGGCGGCTTGCAACTGCACAGGAGCGTTGAGCAAAAATGTCGTATATCAATAGCGAGGCTCGCGAATCCCTCGCGGTCGTGCGATAATGGGTGCAGATATGGCATGCATCGTTTCACGTACGACCGGTCTGCAGACTAAATTAAGGGTAAAGTTTGCCGACACGCAGCAATAATTCAAAGACAGTACGTCATTGGCCAAACCAGGCGACCGTGCAAGGCTTACGCAGGCAGGCTCACGCGCCCTGGGTTCGCAGAGGTCGAGACCGTGCATAGCGCTCCTCCCTCGCGGTGGCCAGCGGCGGATTTGAATAATCCCTCAGCGACGAAACCGCCGCGGCCAACAGGTGCTTAACCGGAACCAACACGTAAGGCGTGCGGTGCCTGCCGAACTCCGCGCGGAGGCCGGCGGAGGTTAGCCCGGGGGTGTCAGACGTCTGTTCAGCTCACGTGACGGGGAAGCCGAAGGTGCGGGGCTCGATTTCCGCGGTGTCCACTCTTCCAGGGTGAGAGGTAGGCGACGCCGTGTAGACTCAGCAAGTGAGTGCGTATTGAAAGCCTCAATGGCAATGACAATTTTGTTGTGAGTATGGAACTATGCGTTGATCCTCGTAACAAACGGCTCTGGGCGTACGACACCCAAAGCCGACGCAGAAATACATGCGACGACAATCAGTGACAGACTGTCGTGTAGGGGGCCGCATCCTCCCAGGTTACCTGCTAGCTGGCGCACACTTCGACGGTATCTACTTACCCTACTTGTTTTTCGCGGCATCACGGGTCCGGGGGTCTCCTCCGATAGCGGGCCCGGGTGCGCACAGGCCCGCTCGGCGGCGCACCTCTAGTCACCGCGGCCGGGCGGCTCGGCCCCGGCCGGCTCTGGCCGCCCCGGCCGGGGGCACGTGGCCTGGCGCACACGACAGGGCAGCACCCGCCGCCCGGCCGGCGGACATGGCCTGACGCACATGACAGGGCAGCACCCGCCGCCCGGCCGGCGGACATGGCCTGACGCACATGACAGGGCAGCACCCGCCGCCCCGGCCGAAGAATGTGGCCTGGCGGACACAGCAGGACGGCACCCGCCGCCCCGGCCGAGGAACGTGGCCTGGCGCACAAGACAGGACAGCACACGTTGCCTAGGTGTCTGCCACCTGCATCGCACCGGATGGAAGCCAGACTGTGCACCACGCATTTGCATACAAAGGCAGTGGGTGCAAAGGGCCGGAAGCGCTCGCTTACTGTTTACAACGCCAATTTCACTCTGCAAGGGGATGCATTTTACCGCACTTGAAACTAGTAGTGTCAAGCTCCAAGACTTTGTTGTCCAGAAATGCAGCTAATTGGTGTGAAAGGTCGCGAGGTGAAGTGAGAAGGCCAGTAGCCCCCACAGGATTTTCCAACGCCATCTACATCGCAAAGCATCCACTTCCGGACAGAGCAACAGATTGCGTCGGTGTTTGTTGGTGTATCGCTGGCCGTGTATCGTGTTCCGGCTCTGTGGCTGATGGTGTGCAGCTGGTGTGTGTCGGAGCGTCTCCTAGCGGCCGTCCCGCTACGGCCGCCCGTCTGCCGGCTGCCGCGTCCGCAGCGCTAATCCACTGATTTATCGGCGATCGA